CAGTCTGTGTATGTTTTATGGCAGTCTTGTTTAGCTACAGGGGGTATAGTGGAGTAGATATGGTCACTTTAAAGCACAAGGGGGCTACCCCCGAAAAATGCTGTTTTGAGAAAATCGAAGGTAAAGATTCTGCGATACCCTTGTTCAGTTTCTTTAAAAGACTAGGAGCGGTTTCTCTATAACCAAACAAATATGCACACCAATGTAACCAAACTTCTCTTATAGGTAGGGCAATGCCCACTTTTGGTGTAGGTCAAGATTTCCGGAAACCGCCGATATCTGGGTTAGCCCCCTTGTCCTTAAAAGCGACCATATAAAGTTTTAGGGGGTGGTTTTAGTCGTAAAGGTATAGATTGGTAGATAATTATGTTTCAGGGATCTTGTTTGGTTTTTGGGTCATAAAGGAGTAGATAGATTTATATTTTAGAAGGTGGTTTGAGCCTTAAGAGTAACCTATAGAAGGGTAGATGATTATGATTTAAGGATATTTTGCGGGTGGTTGGCGGGTGCTCTGGTGTGGTTTGCTCCTTCTTTCCTATCAAACATCGTCCTTATCTCCCCCTCCTTCTTTTTTATGTTTGTTACTCTCTTGTAACACCTCTAATCTTCTGGCGCTCATATGACCTTATGTAGTTGCGAGCGCCGTAAAATCTCTACTAGAAAAAAACAAGGATCTTTTCTGTGCTTCAAAAATTCAACAAGATCCCGAAAGAACATCCACTTTTGTGTGTTAACAAGAACAGCAACAAAAGACCATAAGGAAATATCATGTTGGAGGCGGACGGGTTTAGTCTATGGGGTTTAGACGAGTGGACATGTTGTAGGGATTTATTTAGGTGTTGTTGTTTTTGGGGCGAGGAGGGGGGGGGGTTTACAAGTGGGTGTGTTTCTGAGATCTTGTTTTGTTTTTAGGATTGATAATATGTCTGTGGATGGTTGACGGGTGCTCTGATGTGGTGTGCTTCTTCTTTCCTATCAAACATGTATCATCTTTATCTCCCCTTCTTTTTATGTATGTTACTCTCTTGTAACACCTCTAATCTTCGGCACTTATATATGACTTAATTGTGTTGCAAGTGCCGTAAAACTCTTACTAAAACAAGGTGTTACATTGAAGAAGTATAGTTTGTGAGAGACGATTGGAGGATGGTTTAGGGGTAGGTTTGGATCACCAGGGTAGGACGGGTGTTATGGAATACCCAGCCTTGAAATGAAGAGCACAGGGGAAAAACGACTGCAGTCACAAACTAGATCTGGATAATATTATGAGGGAGCCAATTTTAAAAGCTTGTGTATTCATCACTTTATATTTGTTTGACTGGTGGTTTATTGTTAAGTGTTGTTGAATGGGAAATCTAACGACGCCAATCAACCAACAGTTGAAGAGAAATTTATACAGTTACAAGTCAACGAACAAGCGTTCAAAATTGGTACCCTCATAATATTTTTTCAGTTTGTGACTACCGTCGTTTTTCCGTTGCAGTATTCAAATAATATGATCATGTAGGTGGGAGGTAGGACAATGTTAGCCTTTTTAAAAAGTCGGCAAGAGTGGGCGCTGGCTTATGAAAAGGTTGACTAGATCTAGATCTAACTAACACAGCTGATCTAAGCTATTGTTTTAGATTGAGACACGCGAGCTCACGCAACGGAATAGCGACAGATCAATGTATTGCTTCGTGGAGTGTGACAGCAGAACCTCTCTCCCTCCCTCCCTCCCTCTCTCTCTCTCTCCCTCTCTCTCTCTCTCCCTCC